GGTAGCCAAAACTACAGCTAAATTCTTCGAAATTATTGAAATTTACAGAGCTTTTCCAATCAATCACATCAGTAAACGATGAAAATGGTGTGTTCACTTTTTGAGATGTTGCTTACTTACAATTGAAATGGTTTAGTTCTGATACTTTCGTTGTCTTCCTAGAAAATACCATTAAAATAGGATTTTGTTAATCGTGGTGCCCACGGCGCTTTCAAGTTACAGTCGTTTACGGATGTCCTTATAAAATAATACAGGATGTGTCGTGGCTGAACAGATCGGATGACCAATAGAAAACAACACTTTAACATTAATACTGAAGTCTCGAAGAACAGAAGGCTGTCATTTAATTTCTTCACAATAAATTGTATTCGACAATTAAATATCCTCCTAACAATCTTAAGTAACATTTATCTTCGAGATACCATCCAGAAGCGACCGATAATGAATTATTCTGTCAACGAATATTTCGAGTGAGGTTATTGTGGTAGCATATGGTTTTTATTCATTTCCTTTACTAACATGACTTTTGATCCTGTCGTAGCCAATCATTTTCCCACTGACATTTCGGACTAAGTTTGTTTCGTATTACTTACTGATCAATGTGCAATATGGATTTCAGACTGTGTTGAGATGCAGCATATTAGAGCTTATGTTAGTTTAAATTATTCTCAGCACAACAAACTACTGGAATAAAATAGTTAGTGAGAAAAGAAAGTTTTTTGAAATAACAGCATTGAGGGTGTATGTATACTGATTTTTCATATATGTCCCTTACAACATTAGAGCCTCAATAATGTATGTCTTATTCCCCGGAAGGCGAGAATTGGCAATGCATTTCTACAATTGAAGAACATATGGAACTCAAAACAACTCTCAACTAATTTCAAAGTGAAAATTTTCAATACGAACGTCAAGACAGTCCTACTGTATGGAGCTGAAACGTAGAGAACTACTACAACCATCATCAGGAAGGTACAAGTAATTATAAACAGTTGTCTACACAAAATACTCAACATCCATTGGTCGGATACTATCAACAACAGCGTTTTATGGGAGAGAACAAACCAGCTTCCAACTGAAGAGGAAATTAGGAAAAGACGTTGGAAGTGGATCGGACATACATTAAGGAAATCTGTGGTGTTTAAATAAAACAATGACTTCTTTGTATTGATGACTGTTGTAATTTTGAATTCCAAATACAATACATTCGTTCGGGCTCATCTAATACTTCTTGATTAAATTGCGTTATTACTGGGATTGCTAGTTTATACTACAATTCGAATACTTCTGATCATCATATTGGCGTCGCGATTGAGCCTGTAATGGAACGGTTGGATATACATTCAAATTTTATTGCTTTTGAGGAGTACATGGAGAGGTTCGAAATCTGGGCTATGACCAAGGAAGATGATGAAGACTTTAATATGGTGGCCCATTTCCTTACATTCATCAGAAAAAAAAACATACAGACTTATAAAGACTTTAGCACTTACAGACAAACCGATTTCACTCCCCTATGCAACTCTCAAGCAACTACAGTTGGATCATGTCAAGTATACAAATTCCGAATGCGGTAAGAGAGAAAAATACGATAAAATGACTCGACAAAACATCAGGAATTTCGCAACTTTACTAAGTCATCGCAGTTCGATGCGTAATCAAAGTTATTCAGATAATACTTCATTGAGCTGTGAAACAGTGCATGAAGATGAGCAAGAGTTTAGTAAATGCATGTTCTGTGGCAAGTTTCACTCATGTAATTCATGTGTATTTCGTAATTCTAAATGCGTTAACTGTGGTGAAACTGGACACATTCAGTCAGTTTGTAATACTGTGGTGGACCAAAACGTATGATAACAAAAATTAGCAACAAAAATTTTACGTCTAAAATTTATGTAACAATTAACAGTTAATAAGTTAATTACACACAGATAAAAATAAGGGACGTTACTTAATTCTTCAGGCTATTGCGTGTTCAGTTGAGTTTGGTCTAGATAATCCACAATTATAAAAGATTAGTAATTCCAATATGGACGATATAGATCCAATAGGTTTACCAAGCGTAGAATTCAATAAGAATGTCACGATTGTCTATAAATGGAGATGGTATGCAATTAATATTTCATTTAACATATTAGCAGACATGGCAGAACGATGCAGATGTGAGTTAGAGTATATTTATTGGGGAGCAGTAACAATGTCACGATATGTTGTACTCAAAACGGAAGGAAGTCAAATTACAAGTGTTCAAAGTAATACACTTAAACAACAAGTACAATAGTTTAATGCTAAAAAGTACAGAGTATGAAAATACAAAAAATACATGCAAAAATTATGAAAAATTATTTACAAAATAGGTTTTATGGTCCTATCTCCACAATACCATGCTTCATTTTGCTGAAAGTAATGCTAAGATGGATGCTTCTAATGATCAGTTATCTTTATCTAGAAGTGGTATAACGTCACATAACAGTCCAGAGTTAAATTAAACTCAGAATCATTGTGAGACAAAAGTTTTTAACCAACAAACTTATCGGATTTCTCATGTTATTGAACTAGATATGGTTTGTCGTAATAATTCGCATACTTCTGATGGAATTTCTTACAACTCTGAGAATAGAAACCTGAATGAGTCAAATCATGATCAAAAACCAGATTCAGTTTTGGTAGATGCTGAATTATCTGATGGTCCATTATTCTCTAATGAAACTCTTAATCAATTTGAGGAAAATATTTCAGAGAAATTGAATTCTGATATCATATCAAGTGTCAGTGGTCCTCATAATCAATTTATCTCTAATGATATTCCTAATGAATGTGAAAAATATGTTCCGAATGAGTCGAATTCTAGTCATATTTCTGATGTTATTGTGTCAGATGTTGGATACTCTCTCGAACAATGTATGTTAAATAGAATCCCTAGTCAGTGGTATGATGAATCAGAGGGGATAGCAAAATTTACCGAAATAATCAGAGAACCAGTTTGCCCAAAGGGAAGTTTGCACAGATAGAGAATCCAAATCAAGGCCAAGATTATCGTAATGAGTATGGGGCAAATGAATGTTTTCTATTCGATTGTTTCACAGGTAAATCAAGCCTAGTTGAACCACATGTGTTAATTACATATATCAATGCATATCCATCTGTGTATTCTAATATGAATAACAAAAAGAATATGTATCATGATTTTAATTCAAGTCAAAGTCACATGATGGAATACCTCAAATTATATATCAGTGTTTATCCCCAAATACTCACATACAGTAGTCGATGCGTGAGATTTCAGAAGATAATGCAAATTGGGAACGTCATATTGGCTAAAACATTGCGACGTAAGGACCCAACATTATTTCGTGGGGAGGATATTGTTGGAAAGTCTATGATGCAAATTCTAAATATCAATGGTTTCACTGCAAAACCGACATGCCGATTGTATACAATTCCAGAACCCAGGTGAGCCTGTTCCAATTTCGGTTGTTTATTCTAATACTAATGAGTGCATTCTAGATAATACAGAGTGTACATCCAATGCACTGTTGGACAGATGTAAGATGAACTTAAGAAGAAGACGTACAACCGATTACAGACACTTACACTCCAATTTGAGCTGTGGCGGATGTGATGTTTAAATAAAACAATGACTTCTTTGTATTGATGACTGTTGTAATTTTGAATTCCAAATACAATACATTCGTTCGGGCTCATCTGATACTTCTTGATTAAATTGCGTTATTCCTGGGATTGCTAGTTTATACTACAATTCGAATACTTCTGATCATCATAAAATAACAAACGTGCATCACGACTCAATCCCTAACTTTGAATCCGGAAGGGAAGCGAGAAAGGGAAGGCCAAAGAACACATTACGCCGGCAAATAGAAGCAGATATGAAAAGGATGAATAGAAACTGGAAAGAACTGGAAAGGATTTCCCAGGACAGAGTTGGATGGAGAATGCTGGTGGGCGGCCTATGCTTCTCGACGAGGGGTACAGGCCTAAGTAAGTACGTAAGTAAGTATTCCCGGAAAAATTCATTCTATTTCTCAACCAGTCACATGCACTCATCGCATATCACTCAACACTAAAATAATTGTCTGCTTTCTATTTTTGCATCCTTTTGACATTTTTCCAGTCAGATCTTCGTCTATAGTTGTATTCACATGGATCATTGCAAGTGAACGTATTTTGTGACATTTAACAACCATCTTGTGTTTAAATAGGCAAACATGAAAGCAGTTCACTTTACTCAGTGTTCTATATCTCATAGTTGTTGCAATTTGTAAATAGTTCTTGGCAGCTATTCCTTTGGCTTTGTGTACCTTGAGTTGGATAGTATTGACTGTGAACAATTTTAGGGCCTTTGAGCAATTTCAAACGGACTTCATAATCTAATTCTTATTTCTCTCCACCATCATCTCAAAATAAAGCCTCAAGTTCGATAATAAGAACTAGACAAGTTGATAAGGTGTCAAGGAAAACCTAAACTAAACAGTTACCATATGAATGATTACTTCTGAAAGTGTGAAATCGAGATAAAACAAAACATAATTCAATTATAAAAAGAAAAACATTCTCTACTATGCTTTTAACAAAATTGATCCGCCTTGAAAATGAAGGCATATGCATTAGATTACTTATTAATTTAGTCAGCAAAACAATGGTAAATGTGCATATAACGAGAAATCAATGAATTGTTGACTTACCATTGTTGTCGGTATTATCATGAGTGTTGTAAATTAGTTCTAGGCAAATCCACTATTTTATATAATGAATGTATTGAACCAAAATTTCTGTCACTATTATTATTATTACCAGCCGTTGTAATTGTATTGTTTTTATTAAAATGTTCCATATTATTATTATTATTATCATTGTTGTTATCATTATTACTTAGATCGTCTTCTACCGCAGTTGTTATTAGGTGTGTGAAAGAAGAGTTAGATCATCTGCGGAACCTAGATCGTCAAGCTACATACCAGATATTCACTAAATCCCAATGACTACAGACCACCATTACTGGAACTTCCAGTATTATTATTATTATTATACCATAAAGGTGGCAATGGTGGATGAGATTTGTATAATATTTGATGGTTAGAATTTTTTCTATCCTCTTCTTGTAATGATGATTCCATGGATATTTCTTGATAATTTATATTACGATTTAAATCATAATCGTGATTGCTGATCATTGCATCAGATAATGGACGTAAATCAGAATCACCTATCTGAATGATTATTTTTTAGAAAAAAACAGAAGGAAAAGTTAAAAAATCACAGTATTCTTGGATGAAACTCTGAAGTAGACTTGAAAATGCTGGGAAATACTTTGGTGATATACCACTCCACTTTAGGAATAATCCAAGTTGATCATGCTAAATCACTTTGAAATGAGTGATGAAGTGATCCGAGATTGTATAGAGGACTGTACTATCAAACGTTGAATACAAATAATTATATACAACCTATGAGTGTTACTAAGTAGAACTGTAGTGAACAAGAATTTAGGTGGGGAGAAAATATTTAGTGTTTGACGCAAAATCACACAGCGACTTATTGAAATACGGAAATTACTTACTTACTTACTCCTGTTACCCCTCGTCGAGGAGCATAGGCCGCCCATCAGCATTTTCCATCCAACTCTGTCCTGAGCTTTCCTTTCCAGTTCTTTCCAGTTTCTATTCATCCTTTTCATATCTGCTTCTATTTCCCGGTGTAATGTGTTCTTCGGCCTTCCCTTTCTCGCTTCCGTTCCGGATTTCAAGTTAGGGATTGCCTTGTAATGCTGTTTGGTGATTTTCTTAATGCATGTCCGATCCACTTCCAACGTCTTTTCCTAATTTCCTCTTCAGCTGGAATCTGGTTTATACTCTCCCATAATTGAGTTGATTACATTAACTCTACGTTGTACTTCATGATCTGATGATAGCATTGGTGATACAATTGTTGCTATTCCAGTCACAAGTTTGTTATTTTTATTTAACGCATTACAGTCAGAATCAATTGAATATGATCGTTGTCCAGTAATTTTATTCAATGTAAGTCGGTTATTTTTCTTATCATATAAACGTGTCTCATCATGAGTTACATAATCAATAATTGTTGGATGTTTCACTCGAGGTATAGCAACAATATCAGAAACGATTGATGTAGCAGTTGGAATGGAAATGTTGATGGTAGCAGTAGTACAAACATTAGTAACAACAATTGTATAATTTATTATAGAATTATTATTGTTCATTGAATTAGTTTCTTTTGATGACACAGTTTGTGATGTGATCAGACGTAATAAAACATGTTGGTTACATTTTCGACTATTTATTGAATATTCTGACATTCAAAAAAGATCAGAATCATCATTAAATACTAATGAACTAATCGCTGAACTTGTTCCTGTATGGACTACATGTTGTTCATCACGTTTTAAGAAAAAAAACAACAATTAAAAACAGAAATCAATGAAAATGATGATCATGAAAGTTGACACAATATTAGACTCTATGTAGTGAACGAAGAGTTCAGGTGAGGCAGAACAATTTATTGTTCAATCTGAAATAACAAAGTATCTCCCTATTATATGAAAACCATACAATAAATACAGTAATTGCACATCTTCCTTCGTTTATCATATACATGCTTCTTGATTCTTTTTTATGGTCACGTATAATTTAGGTAAAACAAAAGTCAGAAAATAGAAAATTCAAAATCTAGACACTACAAATTGAAGAAACATTAAAAGCAGCGTACAGGATATATCAGAATTTTCGTCTCAATTTGATTGAATTGTATCACACTATTTGGACGCCGAATAATTATGAGTCAGTAAAGTGGAAGAACGTATTTGTAAAATATCAGCGAATGAATTTGAAGTAAATCCAACATTTCTTCTGGTAATCTGGTCCAAACTTTTTTCAACGAAATATAATCAAACATCAAAGTTATCGAATATGAAGAGGTACATGGTTCTCCGGTTCTCTGTACACTGAATAAGTCATCCAATCAACGTTAACAGTGTATAAAATAGGTAATTGCATTAGTGTGTAAGAGACATGCATGCATGAAATGAAGATGAATAAACAAGATATAGCAATGAATTCAAAGAGAAGGAATCTTCTGTTGTCAGGCATTTCACTTCTGATCGGTGTTACATACTACCACGTGAATTCTGTTTGTCTAAACAAAAAACTTTGGTTCTCAATATCATCGTCTTCATCATCATCGATGATAATAAGAATATAGGATACTTTCATTGGAACAACTAGACGATCATTATGAATACACTAACAAAACTGTTAACTGATGAAATTTCTTATTCATCATGAATTTGAAAGTTAATCAATTGAATAATTTTTTCCAATAAAATACCTTAAGTGATTAGTTGTAGATTGAACTAAATTGATCACCATCATCACACTAATTCCTTTTTTGAATTGGATGTTTGAATCTACCTGACCTAGGTTTTGTGCTATCCAGGCATTTGTCGGTCAAATGTACCTGTAATCGTGACTGTGCTTATGTTTCCCAACCGACTCGATTCTGTTGCACACAGGTTCACAACCAGAGACGTAACTAATGAGCTATACAGGCCGTGACTGACCTCCTTTAAGACTGAGATGTATATACAGTTAGTTGATCACTGGTTGATTAGTTATCAATGTGAAATCGATCGGGACCTCGTTAGTGCTGATCGATTTCTATCTATGACACCGATCACTACACATTGATCAATCAAATGACTTTGGTTTTGTTGAAATTGGGTAATTCACTATAATTTCATGATCTGACTAATAGTTGTCGTCCAATGATTTCAAAGAAATATAATTTACAAATTGTGTAAAACCATACGCTGTTGAGATTTAGTACTGCTGATAGGTGCTTAAAATGTAAGAAGCATTATAATGTGTACTACTACTTCAAATAAGTGAATTTATAGAAATTCATTTTGAAAACTTATGATTGAAATCATGAAACGACGATCAATGTAAGACAACCACTGAGAACTTGGAAGCATTGAATAGCTATTTCGTCGTAATATGGGACTTCACTGCAGTGCATGTTTTGGGTCCTTCGCTCGGGACATGGAATCTGTACCTTCCGTCTCCCGTGAAAATACCTAGGCCAAAGACCACACAGCATGAACCATAGTTCACTTCTACAGCTCTGATATACTATATATTTCGGTTTCCAAATTTGTTATAAACAATAGGATACTTGTTATAACGATAGAGTTTCTGATTATAACAGTCCTTTCACTTTCTACACGTATGTGGGACGTTAATTTACTTTAGACGAATAACTACACCAGACTCCCACCCAGTGTCTATTCTACAGGACTGCAACACAACTCAGATCAAGAACACGAGATTAGCCTGACTATAACGTCAATATATTTCCACACCAAAATCCGACACAAAGAACACTCAATCAAAAACAGTCCATCAATAATGAACAGTCTAATACATTATAACGACAGTAGAATATATACAATACATATAACATTTGTCATCCTATCTCATGTCTGACTCATCAAGACAAACAACCATTGTCATTCTCGCCCACACATCAAAAATAACCAAATAATTTTCAGGTTTAAAAACTGACATCTGAATTCCATTGGTTCATATCTGCCACAACTACTAAAGAGCCAGGAACCGGAAAGAATTACCCAGAACAGGGTTGGAAGGAGAAAGCAGGTGTGCGGCCTAGGCTCGACGGACAAAAGGACTAAGTAAGTATTAAGTAAATACAGTTTTCTGTAATGAGAAAACCGAAATCCTATAGCAATGCGCAGTCACTGAATCTTATATGTTAACAAACTTCCTGAAAATCTCTCCTAGCCTAATTATTATTATACATTATAGAGACTACAGTCAGCATAATTCATCACAGTCACATAGACCAATATACTCAGAAAGTTACAACTAGTCGAGTCTCAAAGACTCGGGATCGATAATGGCAGTCCCATAGATTGAAAAACTAAGGACGTGTAAACTGGATGGTTCGATGAAAAAGACCAACAAAACGCATTTGAAATTAAATGGTAAAGTGTTATAGTATTCATTCATAGCTGAAGTAAGAGATTCTATTGATCGACAGTTAAAAGATTTGTTTTCACTTCATTTTGTTTTTAGAAAAGTGGTAATCCTTTGTAAAATGAGAATTTCTCTCATACTTGCTCTGTGTGTGTTGGTGAATGTCAGCCAAATACACACAACGTATTATTAGAAAGCGACGTTCTTTTATTCTGGCTAACATTCATATTACGTCCATTATACATAATAGAGAATACCATATTGTTTGGTTAATGAGATGGAATGCGTTGACAGACAACAACAAAGTATAATCATTGATATTTATGTAAACAATTAAGGTCAACAGAAGTTTGTTTTTGTTAAGAAAATGGTCAGATAATTTAAACTGAGACTAAAGAAGTAATAAATTTTACTTTGAAAACTTTACAGGATTTAACAGAAAAGTTAGAAGTTGATGTTATTTGGTATTTAATCCTGGAAATCAGAGTGAATTCCCAAACGCATACAGTTTGAAAATCTTTGCATCATTGGGCAAATGAGCGGTAAATCGATCGGATGAATGACATCTACCTACTGGCAAATTTCATTTCCAAGTGTGTGAAACTGTTTCCATGTTTGTGCTACGGCGTCTTATTTTACATGTCAACTTTTTCTGTTAACTTTTTCGACGTGCCCACGTTTTCAATGATGTATAAGGTATATATGATTAACACATCAACTGAAACCACAGAACACCGTTGTGGGAAATAGTACATTGATTTGAACGTTTGTCTGTTCTTAAAAATAACGCTGAGGTAGTTTGTGGCTAACGTTATTAATATGTAGCGAAAATGTTTGTATCTTATATGAAAGTGTACGCTGTCGTTTGTGGGGTGTATCTATCATATGAAATCGTCATGCTCATGTATACAAAATATATGAATGTGACAAAATGCTATCAACAATGGTAATGTTATGTCCTTTTGAGAAAATTATAAGACGTACCGAATGCACTTACTTACTTACACCTGTTATCCTTCGCGGAGGAGCTTGGTCCCCTAATCACCACTCTTCATTCAATACTGTCCTGGGCAATCATTTTCAGTTCTTTCCAGTTTCTATTCATCCATTCCATATCTGCTTCCCTTTGATTTGTCATCTCCTTCAATAGGCTGTTGTTGATGTCATCCGATCAACAGATATTCAGCGTATTGGAAGAACAACTGTTTACATACTCATATGGGGCACGTTACATGGGCCGCACAAATCGATCGCTTTTCAAACTCATCTCGAAACACTATCCGGCTTGGCTGCTGAAAGGAGAATGTTCAAGGATAACTAGTTCGATACAAGAGCATTTGATCAACTGTGAACACATTGCTCCAAAAGACTAGTCTTTTAAAATAATCTATAGAGTCAAGGAAACTGGATCAAAGGGGTTTCGAATCAATATTTTATGCACTGCTGAGGCATTGGCAATCCATCAACTCAAGCCTGAATTTTGCGTGCAGAAACGATTTGTCCAACATCTCACCCTTCCATTCCATAATTCCCTTAATGGGTATGTTTCTGGTTGTTTTTTTTCTTTTCTGTACTTTTGTTTGATTATTATCGGTTTTTTGTTTATTTTTTTTAATTACTGTTTTATATTTTAAACTCTAACCAGTTATCATTATTATTATAACTTTATACAAGTTTTCTTGATTATCATTCATATTATTATTATGACCTTTGTGTTTATCATTGTTGAAAGCGTGAGTTAATTGAAGCTAGACCACCATGGAAAACCTGGAAACACTGGACGGCCGTTTCGTCCTATTATGGGACTCCTCAACAGTGCGCATCCACGAACCTGCTCTCGCGAGCGAGATTCGAACCCAGGACCTACCAGTCTCGAGCCGAAGCCCTTAACCGATAGACCACTGAGCTGGCATCCAACGGTGATCTCTGCCGTTTCTTCAAGGGGGATATTTGTGAAAAGCGAAGAGACATCAAATGAAGCCATGAATTTGTCAGAGACATTAAGGTTATCAAGTTTTTGTACAAATTCAAAGCTGTCTTTCAAACTGTAGGCTGCTAGTTTTTTGCGGATTGTTTCCAAGCATCTAGTAAGCCAACGGGCAAGAGATCATATGTGAATATCCAGAACTCCTGCCTTTACCACCCCAGGAATTTAAACAGCTCCTGCTTTTGTGAACAAAAAACATACAATTTAAATTTAACAATGTTCTGTACCGACAGATTGATGGAATAGCAATGGGCAGCCCTCTAGGCCCAATTTTTGCCGACATTTTTATGGGACATCTGGAACAAAAGAAACTGAAGCACGCAATCGACAGTACCACACTCTACTGCAGATATATGGATGACACGTTCCTTGTCTGCAAAAATCACCAACACTCCATGTACCTACTAAGTCTGTTCAATAAAGCACACAAAGATATAGAATTTAACATGGAACATGAAGTTGATGATAAATTCCATTTCCTAGATATTGGAATTAGGCGAACATCGGACGGC